TTTTTAAAATAAATTTTCAATATATAGAAAATTGTGCAATAAAGAAATAAACTCATGTAACAATAAAACACTGAAAACTTTGTTTTCAAACTTCCACAAAATTTATTTTAACTATTATCACTACAGCTGTTTCGGCTGATAGCCTTTCTCAAGTGATCTATTTTTGACATGCGTTTACAAATAACAACCTAGGTAAATATATTAAAAATAACAAGAGCCAAATTCAATGTGGCGACTGCCCAAAAACTTACATCGGTCAAACTGGTAGAAACTTTGAGAAACGAATAGCAGAACATAAAAGGGCTTTCAAGAATAGAAAAACAGATTCGACATACGCACTTCACCTTCTAGATCATAATCATTCTTTTAATGACAAATTTAAAATTCTTCACGTTCAAAATAAAGGTCTTAAGCTATCTTTGTTAGAATCTATGGAAATCAATAAATTAAAAAACACAGATATAATTCTGAATGACCAACTTGAGACAAACAGTTCTCCCCTCCTCAACCTATTTCATTAGAGACTATAAATTGTAAACGCATGTCAAAAATAGATCACTTGAGAAAGGCTATCAGCCGAAACAGCTGTAGTGATAATAGTTAAAATAAATTTTGTGGAAGTTTGAAAACAAAGTTTTCAGTGTTTTATTGTTACATAAAATGAACTTCCATCAAGTAACGGTCGAATCCATCAATTAAATAAACTCATATGAAATTTAAAACATTTCTGATAAAAATGAGGAGAAATAATTAACAAAAATTGTAACATTAAAATAATACAATTAGAGAAAAGCCATAAATAAAGCAAACAACACTATGATGGAAGCATAATTTAAGACATTCATGAATAAAACAACACAACGATAATTGCAAGTATTTCAAAAGCAGACAGCACAATAAGAGAAAGGATATGGGGCTTAATATATCGTATTAATAAGTATGGAGTTACTTTTCGATAAAAAATATTTTAGTGGTCAATATAGCTAAAGACTCTCTCATAACATAATTATTCCATCACATATTTCACACTCTTTCCAACTTAGCAATGAATTCATTATGTCTTTATAATATTGCCCTCCAAATAGCTATTTCAATCACTGATTACTTTGGAATTAACAAGGAAAATGATATTTCTGTAGTTGGCTGTATAACATGAACAATAAAACCTTTTTTTTTCTTTTAAAAGGGTATACATATTCCAAAAATGCCCTTTGGGATATTTCAGGAAACGTTTTCGGACTAATAACTCCATCATCAGTGCAGTTACCAAGTACACATGACTCACTAAATATGTGGGTAAAAAAACCTTTTAAATAATGTTAACTTTGTTAATTAATACATATTTGTCAATAAATTTAAATGATGTAGTTTTGAACAGATTTACTTCATGGCAATGCAAGACTACCAGAGGTTACTAACACAAGACAAGGTGTCTCTATGGGCTATCGATTATCCATGGAGACATTTTCTCTTGGGTTAATAACCTTTGAGAGTCTTGCGTTGTGATTAAATAAATTTGTTCAAAACTATATTACTTAAGTCAATCGACAAAAATATCAATTAACAAAGGTAACATCATTCAATGGCTTCTACTCACAAATTTAGTGGCTTTACTCATATGTACCTGGTAAGTGCACTGATGATGGACTTGTACGAAAAAGTTCTGCGGTGTAACTCGGCAGGGTGTTTTTAGAATATACAATGCTAGTCAAAAGTCCGTTCTCCCCCTCGTATCTTTTGAAAGGTTATACTTATAATAGTGAAATTTGGAGGGAGGTAATAAACGACATAGGCTCCTCAACTAGTCATAACATGTGACGTAATAGTAACAGATGACGTTACACCGCCACTGTGACAGATACTTTTAAATAGGAACTTATGGCAAGTGATACCTCGTTTAAAAGGTTTTAAAAATACCTATTCAGTCATACCAGTTGTATTTTAGTTTAAGCTCATTTTGATAAATAAATCAAATAAATATTAAAGTTGTAGTTTGGCATTTAATTCATAAAAATTCTAAGGTCCGCCTTTGGTTATTTGTCAAAAAAGTTTACTTTTGCCAATTCTCTAGTTGTTTTTAGTTTGCAAAAGCGTTTATAGCTCAATATTTAGTTTCTGTTTCTGCTTAGTTTACTTAGTCGATTAAGTTTAGTTGAGTTGTTTTTAGTTAGTTGTTCTTAGTTAATATTTAATTTACTTACTGTTTAACGAGACGTTTAAATTTCTACATGGGCAGAATGGTACGTATTGTAGCCGACAAAGTAGCAGCTGTGTTAATAATTGGTGAATGTGGAAATAATTTCCATGTAGCGTAATGTCTTTTCAATGGGAGGTACTCCAATCGCCCTACATTGAGAGATTATTTGAGGAAGCCTCTTCGGAAGTTTAAACAAATAAGTAGTGTTCAAGATCTGGTCGACCAACAATTTGTGATGACAAAAAAATTGACATACTTTCAGAAATGGTAGTAAACCTACTTCTTCTACAGTCCAAGTTGCATCTATTTATGATATCAGTCAAAAGACAGAACAGAGACTGTTCGCTAAAAACAAATTTCATCCATACAAATTAAAAATTGTGCACCATCTTTCAGATGATGACCCCGACCGAAGACTAGAATTCTGTGAGAATATATGCAATAAAATTAACCAACAGCCCTATTACATAAAAACAATTTGTTTTAATAATCCATAAAATTCGGCAACTTGGAAATAACGTTTTAACAAGATGGTGCTCCTGCACACTATTATGGTGTAGTAAGACGTTACCTAGATAAGGAATATCATGGTAGATGGATTGAACGACGAGGTACGATAGAATGGCCAGCTAGGTCTCCGGACTTCACACCATTAGATTTTTTTCTGTGGAGATGCTTGAAATCTAAAGTTTACCCGACAATATTGACATTTTGAAACAACAAATTGTTGAAGAATGTAGGGCAATTTTCCCCCGACACATTTGAATGAGTACGGCAAGAGTTTAAAAATAGGATGTAGTACTGTCAGAAAGTGGACGCAGCACATTATGAACACGTAATATGAGAACTGGTTGTTAAATATTTATTAATTTTAATGAGAAGCTACAACTTTAGTATTTATTTAATTTATTCATCAAAATGAACTTAAACTCAAACAAAAACATGATAAAATGCGTTAGGCTTTCACGGCTATCGTCTTCGTTCACGCCATCTGTTCGGGCTGTTAGGCCGTTATCTTCTGGGATTAGTTCTCGACGGCATCTTCTGGAGATGTTACTGCTTCGTTTGTAAGTCAGTTTCAGCTTACAAGCGAAGCAGTATCATCTCCAAAAGATGTCAACTCCTAGTGTTGGCGAAACATCGAGAACTAATCTCAGAAGACAACAGCCCGAACAAACAGCCTTATAAGATAAAATTATTATGAATAAATAGGTATTTTTAATACCTTTCAAACGAGGTATTATTTGCCATAAGGTCCCATACACAATTATACATTATCTGTCACAGTGGCGCTGTAAAGTCATCTGTCACTATTAGGCTCGGCGCACACACATCGAATTTGGACAGTCGATATAAGTTCGATTGAGCAAATTCCTTTGGTGGCGCGAAGAAACAAATGTGAGCGGGCACACACATCATTCGCCAAACGGCACGGCATCGATGTCGTGTGGCGATCGATGAATGTCACTGCATTCACGGCTGCCGTGGTCGTTGCCGTTTTTCCAAGGCGTATAGTATCAAACGAACGCGCGCACACACTGCTCAAGGTACGTCGCTCCGTGTTGATACGTGGTTCTGTGCTGCTCAATGTGATTTTGTGTACTCCACCTAACAAACCTTTGTGGATTAAAAACGTCATCGAATAAATATCGTGTAGTGTGCGCGCAAGGCGTCATCGACAAAAGTTCGGTCGAACTTTTATCGACCGTCCAAATTCGATGTGTATGCGCCTAGCCTAACGTCACCTTTTGTGACTGGGTAAGAAGCCTATGTCGTTTATTAGCTCTCTCCAAATTTCACTATTATAACAACAACCGTTCAAAAGATACGACGGGATGAACGGACTTTTGACTAGCACTACATATATCTTTTATAAAGGATATTTCGCGTGAAAGTTTTTTTTTTATTATTTTCAGTTACAAAAGAATCTCTTGCAACGCTTTGGGAATAGATCAAAATATTTGGGTGTCAAAACTATGAGGCAGTACTCCTAAAACCAATTCTTGAGTTGTGTAAATTTTAAATGCGGATTTGAAGACAAGTGTTCTATTTCAAAATTACTTTTTTTTAACAATTTCTTGATGTTAAGTTGTTGCAATAAATAATACTGACTCTTTATCGTTTTTTTCCTTTATAATAAATTTTGTTTACCTTATGACAGCTATATATGACCTTCATTTGGACTGTTATTTGACTTCGGAAGTATACTAGGTGATTCAAATATGATCAATATTGTAAAAGAGATATCTTTGGATGTCCAGTATTTCATTTTTCGAATTTTTCAACGAATTACTATACAAATCCTCAGTTAAGATAAGCACTATGTCTAATATCTCAGGTATTTTTAATCAACAGTCATTCAATATGATCCGATGGATTTTTCTACTCGTATCCGAATTAGTAGAACATTTTGAATGTCCACTGTGGAGTTGATCTCCAGTGTGGAGTGCTTTGTTGTTAGAAAATCAAATCTTTAGACTTTGGCAGGTAAATTAAAGTTAAAGTACGTAAGTATCTTTTATGTTTCTTTCTGCTTAACGATTTAAAATTTAGATGTATTCTGCTTCAATCTTCTATAGGTAATGTAAACACATTCTTACATGAATTCAAACTGATTATGGAATAGGGAAAACAGATCAACTCTACTAATAACTAGTGAGTTAAACAAAAAACATGCGAATGATCCTAAACTACCTGATTTCGTAAACAATAACTCTAAGTACAGAATGAATGAGGGAAGATGACAAAAAAACAGAAAAGCACATCGCACCAGCACCAGTGAGTAATTTGTTGATGTACTTACTAAAACAGGCAGCGGTTTAATCCGGAACAACTAGATCAAAAATAGAAAACAAAATGAATAACAAGTTCCTAATATCTAAATTTAGATTTAAATAAAAATTTTATAAACTAATTTAAACTATAAAAGTCTAATTTCTAAAAATTCATAAGTTTTTTCTTAATTTTATTATAATATGGTACGATAGTGGCATTGTTGAAATAGTGGGATTATAGTGTCAGCACAGCTTGACTGTGGTTAGGCGATGTCATGTTAGTTAGGCCGGCACTAGCAGCGAGAAATAATGTTCATTTTATATAAATATATTCACAAAATGAGAGACAGATTAATTTTAAATGATAATCTTCTAATTTAGATGTTACACTGCTGACTAAATATTTTGTTTATATGTAGTATGCGCAAAAATTCTTTAACAATAGTATATACCCCCGTCTTCGAATTAAACTGATAATCACCATTTCGTCCACTTACAATAACAAAGTTCTAACTGCACCTTTTCTCAAATTGTAAGTTTTATAGACTAGGCGAGACCTGCAGAAATTCAGACCATAATGGACATTTTCCATAGAAAGCTATTTTTTTGATGGAATTCCTTCAGGATGTGTCCAATATCGATTATCACAATATGCGCCAGTCGCAAACTCTGTGCTAAATTTTTTATTTAACAAAATCTGAAAACAACTGAAAATTTCTCATTTTTGTGCTTCTATTTTCGTTTATAATTCTGAAAATATTGTTAATAGAGAAAAAAATTATAAGAAGGTAAAAGTTTCGTTAATAAATTTTACACAATATTTAGTTAGCTAAAAATTGAAAAGTTAATGTTTATTGTTGAAAAAAAGCAATAATTAGAAAAAAAGTACAAAAAATGAAGTTAATCCTTCAAATGTTTTCGACTTTCTAAACTTGACTTACAAGCTCCATATTCTGCCTAGAAAAACTTTTTAATATGTTTATAACGTGTGCTAAATTTTGTGAAGATCGGTAGGATAGGTTTTGCATAATAATTTTGCAATCCAGCCTACTGGAAAAAAGCAAACTTCTCAAATTTATAGTAATCCATAAATAAGGCCCTCAGATAGTTGCAATTTTTTTTACATATAAAGGAAGGCTCAAACTTTCAAACGCTTTTTGTAAAATTCAAATCGTTCACTAGGAGAGCCTAGAAAATTTTTTAAAGTTTTAAACATTTTTTAGGCTTATAAACAATTTGAAATTGATATGTTTAAAGCTCGTAAAGTTATTTAATTTGTTTATAAGCCTAAAACATGTTTAAAACTAAAAAAATTTTTAGGCTCTCCTAGTAAACCAATTTGAATTTTACAAAAAGCGTTTTGAAAGTTTGAGCCTTCCTTTATATGTAAAAATATTGCAACTATCTGAGGGCCTTTTTTTAGGGATTACTATAAATTTGAGAAGTTTGCGATTTTTTTCCAGTAGGCTGGATCGCAAAATTATTATGCAAAACCTATTCAACCGATCTTAATAAAATTTAGCACACGTTTTAAACACATTAAAAAGTTTTTCTAGGCGAAATATGGAGCATGTAAGTCAAGTTTAGAAAGTCGAAAACATTTAAAGGATTAACTTCATTTTTTTTACTCCCCCGAATTATAAACGAAAAGATGAAGATCCACAAAAGCTCATGAAATTGACAAAGAAAGAAGATATTAACATCGTCCTAGGAGACTTTAACGCTAAAATAGGAAGAGGGAAATTCCAAAATATCGTAGGAGAATACGGACTAGGAGAACGAAATGAAAGAGGAGACAGACTATTAGAGTTTTGCCAGCAACACAATATGATAGCAACAAACACTTGGTTTAAGTTACCTCAACGTAGGTTATACACCTGGACTTCCCGCTACACACAAAAGAAAGAATAATAAGAAATCAAATAGAGTATGTTTTAATCAACCAACGATTTCGTAACTCCATTACAACTACAAAAACATATCCTAGTGCTGATGCAAATTCCGACCACAACCCTGTAGTAGCAAATATTCGCACAAGAATTAAAGTAATAAAAAATGCAAAGCCGAAGAACAAACCTAATACGGAACTACTAAAAGATGTACAGATTAAAGATAAAACCACTGTAAAACTAAATGAAAAACTCTCAGAAATAGACCGAATCCAAATAAATATCCAAAATATAAATACAACTTGGCAACAAATAAAATCCATCCTCGTCAATTCTGCAAAGGAAGAAATTCCAAATACACGATTAATGGCAAAAAAAGACTGGATGACACCAGCTATTCTAAAGATGATAGACGAAAGGAGGAAATACAAAAATAAGAACACAATCGATTACAAACGATTAAATACAGAAATACGAAGGAAAATAAAAGAATCAAAAGAGAAATGGCTCGAAGAAAAATGTAAAGAAATAGAAGAATTAGAACATAGACATGATTACTTTAATATGTACAAGAAGGTGAAAGAATTTTCATTCATCCACAAAAAACAACATTGCCCACTGGTAAATAACAACGGAGAGTTAATTCATAACACCAAAGATAAAATAGAAGAATGGGAAAAATTTATACAACAGCTGTTCCGAGATGAAAGAATAGACATTACAATAAATAATGTTACTGAAAGCCCACCAATTCTAAAAGTCGAAGTGGAATATGCCATTAAACAATTAAAGACCAACAAAAGCTTTGGACCTGATGAAGTTTATCCTGAAATACTTAAATTGATCGAAAGTAATAACATTGATTTGCTAGTAATTTTGTTTAATACAATCTACGATACTGGGGAAATACCAGAGGAATAGTTAGAATCTATTTTTATTCCCATTCCAAAACAAGCTAACTCCAGGCGATGCGCAGATTTTAGATTAATAAGTCTTATGAGCCAAGTGCTTAAAATTCTATTAAAAATACTTCACAATAGGGTATACAAAAGGTGTGAAAAAGAAGTTGGATACGATCAATTTGGATTCAGAGCCGGAATGGGGACCATAGAGGCCTTGTTTTCAATACAAGTACTGCTGCAGAAGTGTTACGACCAACAAAAGGATGTCTTTCTATGTTTTGTAGACTTTGAAAACGCATTTGATCGCGTAAACCATAATAAAATGTTAAATTCCTTGCAGAGCATCAACTTGGATAGTAAAGACCTCCGATTAATTAAGAACTTATATTGGAGGCAGAGTGTCAAGATTAGGATAGACGATCATTCATCTAGAAATATTAGTATAAATAAAGGAGTAAGGCAAGGGTGCATAATATTCCCTATGCTGTTCAATCTTTACTCGAAACTACTATTCAAGCAAGCCTTGAAAAACCTTTCCACAGGAATAAAAATTAATGGAGAACCAATATCTAGCATAAGATATGCAGATGACACTGTCCTACTGGCTGATACAGACACAAATTTACAGGGGGTTATAGACCACCTTAAGGATGCTTGTCGAGAGTTTGGAATGAAGATCAACGAAGAAAAAACAAAAGTAATGGTGATCCAAAGAAAACAGAATATCCCCTTACCTATAATAATAAATGGGAATATTTTAGAACAGGTAAACCAATACAAATACCTTGGCTGTTGGATTAATTGCAAGCTGGACCCAGAACAAGAAATTAAAGCGAAAATTGCTCAAGCTAGGGATAGTTTCTTTAAGATGCGTGTTCTATTCTGCGATACACATATAAATATTAAATTGAGATTAAAACTTGTAAAATGTTTTATCTGGTCTGTTCTTCTCTACGGAGTCGAAACGTGGACTTTAAAAATAAAGAGCCTGAATAGAATCGAGGCATTTGAAATGTGGGTGTACCGTAGAATTTTAAAAATTCCTTGGACAGCACGAAAAACAAATGAAGAAGTACTAGCTAGACTTAATTTAGAAAAAGAACTATTGAGAACAGTCAAAAGAAGAAAAACCAGTTATTTAAGGCATTTGTTGCGCAACGAGAAACACTACATCCCTCAGTTGATAATAAAAGGCAAAATAGAAGGAAAGCGAGGAATTGGAAGAAAAAAATTGTCCTGGTTACGTAATATCATAAATTGGACAGGACTTGGATTTGAGGAACTCTTAAGAGCAGCTGAAGATAGACAAACGTTTGCCACCATAACCGCTAACCTCCATTGATGGAGACGGCACTTGAAGAAGAAGAAACGAAAATAGGAGCAAAAAATGAGAAATTTTCAATTGTTTTCAGATTTTGTTAAATAAAAAATTTAGCACAGGGTTTGCGACTGGCGCATATCGTGATTATCGATATTGGGCACATCCTAAAAGGATTCCAGCAACAACATAGTTTCTTATGGAAAATATCAATTATGGTCTGAATTTCTACAGATCCCGCCTAGTTAATAACGACTTGCATCAGGGAACGATAATTCTGGAGTTTAAGATGTGTGAACACCTGTGTTAGATCAAGACTGAACCAGGAAAGACTAAATAGTTTGGTGTTAATCAACATTCATCGCAAGACTGACTTATATGCAGAAGAGACCATGGACTAAGTAATAATTTAGTTGCAATTCAAATAAACCTTTATGCTGTCCTCGGTGTATATTCAAACCAAGTTTACGCTATACAATAAATAACTGAATTCAACCATACTCAGCGAATCTATTAATTGATTATTCGAAATCCCAACCATCATAACCCAAAAGATGAATATAAATATGTTGTCTTTAAAATTATAAAACAAAATCCGGAAAATAAATTTAAAATACTAGGACGAAAAATTTTTCTAGAGAAAGGTTTAAAATGTATATAAAAGATAAAATTCAAGGCTGTTGCTTATGGGGGTAGTAAAGCTTTAATATTTTGAACTAAAATATTATTATGATGAAGTTTTAAGTAATAAAAGGATCTATCTTTTGGTTTTACGATAATAAAGATTTATGATAATAAAATTGCAAGCGTGTTAACATCGTAAAATTCGAAACTATAGCAAATATGTCGCTAGAAATTCCATAAGGAACATAATATTTTTTATTATAATGAAGTAATAAAATTAGATAATCTGAAATCTGCTTTTCACAGTCTAATGCTTCAGTGTGACAGAGAACAAGAAATCGAGCAACAAATTCTCATCAGCTCTGTTAGATTTGAGTATGAACTGTCGCCAATACCCAAATTCTGACGGTAAATTTTTAACAAAGAGATCGAATAAATACTAACAGCTAGTCAAGATGAAAACATCAGAAAATACGTCACTATAACGAACGTCTGGGTACAAATACACCTTATAAATAACTTCTTATTTTTTACGCTAAAGCGACGAATTTATAACCTTATTTTTGCTGTCCAACGCTTTTTCCAAAGTCCCTGAATTAGTTCCCTTGATAAAATCTTTTAATTGCCACAACATAAACCTCCTCTGAGAGTTTAGTTTATCTCCACTCAAAGTTTACTTCTCATTAAGTTGTTTATTTGCTTAATAAAATTAGAAGGAAGAGGGACAAATAAAGTAGCCCAAGTTATATTTCGGCGAATTAGTTTAATGATTTCTAATTATCAGCGAGAGACTTAAGGAGGTAATAAAATTTGAGGAAAGTGCTAATTAAGCTGCAAAGGTTATGCATACGATAAAATCAGTTAAAGTTGTTCGCTAAAGATAGCACTTTAGCGCTCTTGCGGGATAACATCTGGAAATATAACTCGTCAATACCAAATTTATCAGAATTTACTGATGAGTTTACGCAATAATTATATAGTTTTATTGATTTGCGATTAAACTAAAGTTAAATAAGTGTTGGAGTCGACCGTTACTTATATAGGCGTTCATTTGATCTAAAAAAAACTATAAAACTTTTTCTAGTAATCCTCTTATGTATTCTTCGTCTAATTGGATGACCGTTATTGATCGTTGGATATTATGTTGGCTACTATATTCACTCAAAGCACAGAAGAAGAAATAGAACAATTTTACAAAGACCTAAACAAAATTCTACTGCAGACAAAGAAGCATGAAACCAATATATTATTAGGAGACTTTAACCCCAATATTGGAAAAAGGAGAGAAGATGAGACGGTGGGGGAGTTCATTAGTCAATCAGTACAGTATAATGAACAGATTTTTTAAGTTACCACCCATACGTCCCTACACGTGGAAATCTCCAGCAGATCTAATAGAAAGACGCATCACAAGAAAACAAATCGATTACATAATGGTCAACAAAAGATACAAAAACGCAGTAAAAGCATGCAAGATATACCCCGGAGCTAACATCCCCACCGACCACAATCTTCTTGTTGCAACAATTAGGATAGAATTTAAAAGAACAAAAGAAATAAGTAAATAATAGCTATTAACCCAGATAAGCTTAAAAGAATCCACTAGTAATAAAATACGGGAAGAAATACATAGACACTTAAGTAACAGAACAGTACAGTCGACACAAACTCCCGAGGAAGACTAGAACTATATTGAGAAAACACTTACAAGAGTAACAGAAGACTACCTCAAACAAGATACACGAAAAAAGAACAAACCATGGATGACAGAAGAAATTCTAAACATGATGAACGAAAGAAGAAAATACAGAGGTAAAAATGAAACAACATACAAGCAAATACACAAGAATATCAGACATAAAAGAGAATATAAAGAATATAAAGATCCAACAAGCCAAAGAAACCTGGCTAAGTGAAAGATGCTAAGAAATTGAAGAGTTGGAACAAAGACATGATACTTTCAATCTACATAAAAAAGTAAAAGAAGCCGCTGAAATATATAAACAAACTCCTACGCATCAGATAAAGAACGAAAAAGCTGTTGGGAAAGATAATATCCCAATTGAAATAATAAAGATATTAGTGGACGAACACATCGAAGTAATGGAAGATATATTTAACAAAATATACGAAAAAGGCATAATACCAAATGATTGGCTGAAATCGATGTTTATACCACTACCAAAGAAGAGAAACTCCAAGAAATATGAAGACCATAGGATTATTAGCCTGATGAATCATACGTTGAAGCTTTTCCTATGAGTACTACACAATAGAGTATACAATAAACTAGACGAACACACTGGTCAAACTCAGTTTGGTTTTAAGAAGGGATTCAGAACAAGAGAAGCACTTTTTTCAATACGTGTGCTAGTTGAAAGATGTAGAGATGTCGATTATAATGTATACTTGTGTGTTTATAGACTTTCAGAAGGCGTTTAACCTGGTGAAACATGATAAACTAATAGATATTTTAAGGTCATGTAATATCGACGATAAAAACTTAAGGATCATTTCAAACCTCGACCAAGAACAAAAGGCTAAAATTAGAATAAAAAGCGAAACATCTGGAAAAATCAATATCGAGAAGGGAGTAAGACAGGGATGTGTCCTATCACCTTTGCTGTTCAATGTTTACTCTGATAATGCTGAAGCCCTGCAACGCTTAATGGACCGAGTAACGACAGCCTGTAGAGAATTTGGAATGAAATTGAATACAAAGAAGACAAAAACGATGGTCATCAGCAAGCACCAAAACAGAAGGTGAAGGTCAATGTCGACGGAACAGATCTGGAAAGAGTAACAAGAACAACGTACCTTGGAAGTAATCTTGGTGAAACTTGGGACCACTCACTAGAGATAAGAATACGCCTGGAAAAGGCACGTACAATGTTTTACAAAATGCAAAAAGTTCTATGCAACCGCCAGCTGGGCATCTCATTGAGAAATAGAATACTTAAGTCTTATGGTTTCTGCACCTTGCTCTATGGTGTTGAAGCCTGAACAATGACAGAAGCAACACAAAAAAGAATCCAAGCATTCGAACTCTGGTGTTACCGTAAAATGCTCAGAATATCCCACATGAGCCATACGACAAATGCGGAAGTCTTGCGGAGGATGAATAAGGAAAGAGAGCTTATGCTTATAATAAAATAACGGAACACCCAATATTTTGGTCACATCATAAGAAATCAAAAGTATGAACTGCCCCAACTTATAATCGAAGGCAAAGTCAATAGCAAAAGAGGACCAGGAAGAAGACGCAACTCTTGGCTTAAAAACCTACGGCAATGGACGAACATGACCTCCGAACTATTCAGGGCTGCTACAAATAAGATTAAATGGGCAAATGTAATGGCCAACGTCCTTAAGGATAAGGCACCGTAAGAAAAAGACTATATTCACTATCGTGTCCTTACTCACAGCAGCTCTAAAGACTGATGTAGTTAAATTTCTGTACCGTTTGTTATATTAGATTTTTCAGCCATGCTATTCTGCATCTACTAGTATTGCGTTTACATTGGATCTTTCCCTGAATGACCAGATGCAAAAGTTCATATTTTTCGGGATGTCTCATTATGTAAGCGAAGTATTCCAGCTTTAGTATTAGTATGTAGGCCCAAAATTCAAAGGTTTCCAAGCGTTTTAAAATATTACTACTGGAAAGGTAAAGTAATATACTCAATGTCGTAAAAAACGTAAGGGAAAAAAAATTGTCAAATTCAAAGTACTTTAATTTTATATTTTTAGGCCTATGCTGATGATTTTTTTAACACACCTGTTTATAAATTTTTAAATTCTAGTTTAATATAGTTCGTTTTTTAGTGTAGTTTAATATAGTTCTAGTTTAATATAGTTTATTCGAATTTTGTATTTGACTTATTTTACGGGGTTAATAGAAAGGTGGTTTTTATATCCTAACTATAAAACACCCTGTGGAATAATTCCGTTAGCGGATTTTCATAAAGCCTTGCTTTTCGGTTGCAAACATGTCTTCTTAGTATTATGTTTTTTGTCTAATATGAAAACATGGATTGGTTCGATTTTATCCACCCGCAATTTACGACTTTTTTTATTATTACCATTATATTTTGTATTAATTTGTAATACGACGATGGAGGCTTTGGTGACTGATATCGAAGAAATGTCATATCAACATTCCAGAAGCACTGTATTTAAATAATGAGCAACAACATAATCTTGGTTTTAATGAACAATGACAACTTTAACAAAACTTAAAAAAAAACAAATTAAAGGTAACAAAGAAAAACTACTAAAAAATAATTTGCCATTCCTCTTCTAGAGCCAAGCGAAGTTCGATAATTGAAGCTGGTGCGACTTCATGACCTCTAATACGTTTACCAAGCATGTCCCAAACGTGCTCTGTTGCGTTCAGATCTGGCGAACACGCTGGCCAGTTCATTTTATTAATACAAACTTCCTCTAAATATTGTGTGACACATATTGCAGAGTGGGGTCCCGCATTATCTAGCATTAATAGAAAATCATCGCCGATATATTGAGACAAGGGTACTACGTTATTCGCTAACCTTCTGAACCTTTTAATGCAGCGTCGTGGAATGCAAATTTTAGATTCCCTATGTCTCTTTTAACATCTTTATCAACGTCTCTTTACCTTGCTATTTTAGAAGGTTCAGATTAAAGCAGAAATCTGAATTGGTTTCGAAAACTATTTTACGGATTTATTATCAGATGTCGCTATTGCGTCCATATCGAAGCCATTTTAATGTTGCTTCTTAAAGACAGAAAACATTTATTTTTCACGTTGAGAATGCCTATGAATAGCAGTTCTGATGAGGCCTATTAGGCCTAAATGCGTATAAACAGATACATAGACGTTTTGTACGTGAAATCTAAACTTTACTGTCTTTTTCATTTCATAATAGCATTGTGTTATTTTCGGACCTCATTATTTATTTATTGTTTCACAATTTTTGTGTGATGTACTTAATTGTTTAACTTTACTTAACTTTATAATTGGTATTAGTTTTATAAGGTTTTTTTGCTTTTTGGGGATAATAGGAGCTCGCTCCTCTGCTCTTATTTGTTATGTAATAATAATAATAATATACTGTACTTAACAATTTTGGTTGAAAATAATTTACTTAATGTTGTAAAAACATGTACCACTTACCTCACAAGGCGGTGGCGCACTTCTGTAAGAAGGTACTATTTTAAACGTCACCGATCCCCGTGCTTCCCTCTGTAAATAGAAAAAGGCATTTTATTCATTTTCATTTTTCGATATTAGGGTATTGCACAGCTACACAAAATTATAATACGAAAAAAAATGATAAAAATACTTACGAGAATTTTTTGAAGCGCATTGACTGATTGATTTATAACTGGAATACCATTGATTTCTCTAATTTCATCGCCTACATGGAGGGTTGCTTGCCTATGAATCATCCCTCCGTGCATTATCCTAGCAACTATGCATTTGCCGTCTTCGTTCATTTTTAGGGTAATACCCTGAAAGAAAAAAAAATAGTTAACAAATAAATCTGCTATGTTGGCTGGTAGCAAACAAAGGTCATGCCAATTCGTTGGGCGATAAATAACGTTGTTTGAAGCACACAAAATGTACTATGCCTCATTGCTTAGAATCGTTTCTTAGGATATTTCCTTTGTTACAAAAGCTCAAGTAAATTGGAGAGAAAGCAAAGAAAAGAATAAAAGATAATACCTAATAAAGATAAACCAAAAATGTTAAATAAATAAAACAACGAATTATATTACAGATGTTTTTCTTTATAGCTTCTAAAAAAATTGGAAACAAGATGACAAGATAAGAAGAAAACAAAACGAAATAATAAAAATGGTATATAATAATAACGGTATATGAAAATTTTAAGATATTTTGTATAACAAATTCTGAAAGTACTATGAATCAAATGAAAACAAACAACAACCTTGAATTTAATTTTACTTATTCCTTAATCATACTTTCTAACCTACTTTAAAATAGTTGAAGACTCCTACAAATTGCTGCACACAAGTCAACACCAAGCAAATAGCAGAGAATGTCAAGTGCCCGAAATATTAATAAGGAAAAAGGGCATTATCAACCAAAGATTAGAACTTTTTTTTTATTATCCCGGATTTTTATAGCGTTCTCCGCTATAAAAAAGTTCTTCCGGTTCCCAGTTTCCAGCTACGTCGGTCATTCCATTCGCCAGAGTGAAGGTTTCTTTCCAACATTGCCTTCTGAATGCCGCCCAGCCAGGATTGTTTTGGCCTGAAATTTGGTTTGGCAGCCTGTCGTCGTCCATTCTTTTCACATGACCATACCAGATCAGTTCTCTCCTTTGAATTTCGTCAATGCTGGTTGACTTGACTCCCATTATATTTCTGATATGGTCATTTGTATTCTATCAAGCCTTGATTTTCTAGCTGATCTTCTCCAGAAGTCCATTTCCAATGCAAGTAGGCATCGCTCAAGGGATTTAGTAAGTTGCCATGTTTCGAATCCATAGAGCACTATACTTTTAAAGATGGAGTTAAAGAGGAGATACTTTCTTTGATTTGATAGTTCTTTTGACCATAGCATCGGGTTTAGGCATCCTATCATCCTTTTTCCTTTCACGATTCTTTGCTCTATCTCTTTTGTGTCTGTATCAAAAGAGCGCCCACTTTTGTTGATTGTTGTTTCCAAATATATATATATTCCTTACAGTTCTTGATTGTTCATGTTCGTGGACCATTAGATCTTCTACTTCATTCCCGATGTATAAGTATTGCGTTTTGTTTCTATTTACAGAAAGGCCCCATTCTTCATATGTTTTAAACAACCGTCTCGTCATGAATTGTAAATCTTCCTTGTCTGCTGCCACTACTACTTAGTCGTCTGCAAAATGTAGAGTGTATAATATGGTATCGTCGTCAAGTTATATCCCCATTCCTGAACAGGATCTTCTCCAGTGTTTTAGTGCTTCATTTAAATAGATTTTAAATAGTATTGGAGGGAGGCAGCATCCTTTTCGTAAGCCTTTTGCTACTGGAAATTCTTCTGATAAGGTGTTGTTTAGTTTGATTTTTGATGATGCTTAATTGTACAATTCTTTGACTGCGGCGATGATCGTGCTATTAAATGGAGATCGTTCAAGAGACTGCCGCAGCTTTCTTACAGGAATCGTGTCATATGCTTTTGTGAGATCCACAAATAAAATATGTATTTCCTGGTTTCTTGCAACTTTCTTTTCATTCAGGTATGTTAGTGTAAATATGTGGTCTACGCAAGATCTTCCAGCTCTAAATCCTGCTTGCTGTTCAATTTCATGAGGTTCGTATTCTTTCTCAATCATGTTTTTTAAGATTTCACCAAACAGCCTGCTAAAGGTACTGGTGACAGAAATACATCTGTAGTTTCCGAAAATATCTTTTGGACCTCTTTTGTGAATTGGAGTAATCCATGCTTCTTTCCAACTATTCGGGATTTCTTCCCCATTTAAGTATCTTGTGAATAGCTAGAATAGAATGGATCAGAACTACTACCGGAAATTACAATAGACAAAATAGAACTAGCACTAAGAATATTTAAGAATAGCAAATCTCAAGGCAAAGATTGTGTAGTTACTAATGCAATCAAAATCGGAGGCACTTGCCTACTTAAGAAAATAAAAATCCTTTTTAGCATATGTCTTTTGGACAGTAATATACCCGACAAATGGCACAATGCTGAGGTAATTTTATTGTACAAAACAGGAGATGCCCATGAATTAGAAAACTACAGATCTATAAATCTTTTTAGTCACTTATACAAACTCCTTATAAGAAGATTAACGAATCGCCTTGATTGATGAAAAAAACTTGATTTCTACCAGTCAATAGAGCAAGCTGGATTTCGTACCGGATTTGGAACAAATGATCACCTACAGTGCATCAAAACGGTAATATAAAAGACTATCTAATACAATCAACCACTCGTTCTGGCTTTTGCAGGTTTCTATAAAGCCTTTGACATAGTAGAATTTGACGAAATGCTGGAAGCACTACAAGCATGCAGCATTGACTACCCATATACAAGGTAAATTTACAAAACATACAAGAACGCAGCTATGTCAGTGAAACTACATAAAAACAAGGATCATATCGCAATTGCCAACGAATTCTGACAGGATGATACCTTATCGCTTCAGCTGTTTGGAACAGTACTAGAAGTAAAAACTTAACTTGTAAGAAACTTAACTGAGACATTGACAATAAAAGATTAACAAATTTTAAATTCACAAGACGACATAGTTTTGTTCTCGAACAACCTCAGAGAGATATATACAATGCTAAATGAACTTTAGTTAGTGTGTGCCAGTGTGGGTCTTAAAATAAACATCTCCAAAACAAAATTCGTGACAAACCTAGTGCTTAGCGGAAATATTATTGGAGAGAACGAAGTAGAGCTGGTGGAATAATACATATATCTTGGACACGAAATAAAGAACTGGCTCGGACACGTCACCCGAATTGCCCGAGATTGCTTGAGTGAAGCCCGAGGTTAAATAAAAGAAGTAGAGAAGGGCCGCCTACTCGTTTGACTGATGATTTCAAGAAAATTGGATGAAAAATGTTCAAGATAGAGCACAATGGGCAAAAATGAGGAAAGCTTATGTCCAGCAGTGGACGCAAAGAACTGAGTGATGATGAGTCTACTTTTATACATTAAGTATATACCATATATTCTCATTATCCATCAGTAATATCTCATCATTTCTCTACACAAATTAAAAAAAAAACAAGCAAAAATTAAGAAATCAAAATCACTTAAAATGGTATCGAAATAATTATTATCAGGTTAAGATATTAAAAAAAATAATATAATTGAATTCTGTTCACTTCGGCTTTGATCCTGAATCTGAGGATTTTCAACAAAGAAGTACTTATCTGAATGGTATATGTCTCGGTCAGAAAAAACAGGGATGCCTCTAATGGTCTCTGGATCCAAAAATCTAACAAGAGGTAACGTAAAGTATATGCATCTCTATTAATTCATGTATTCATTATTTTCGTCATTCCTCCTCTTTCTCTCTTTCTATTTCTTTTTTTTTTCTTTCTCTATTACTCTAAACTATGTCATGTTTCGTATGGGGACAGTCAGCAGGGAAGGATCTTTTACATCTGACCTACACAGACTGCCCCATCTAAATGTTAGAATGAATGGGTGGATGAGTATGTGCGTCTAGATGAAAGTAAGGAATGACTGGAGTTGAATGAGACTAAGTATAGATAAATGGGTGGATGAGAAAGAGTGAATAGATGAAGGTATGAACTACTAAAGTTATTCGTAATTGCCGACTGACATCTTAGGGTTGGTTCCATCTTGAGTTGGAAAGCGTCCCGACCGCCCTCTTTTTCATCCTCGGTCGCTTCGCTGTACAGGGCCTGGGCGGGGAAGGCGTCCGTGAAGCTGACCAATTTCTGGAATTTACGCTGGGGTATTAGGGGGAGCTATGAGTAAGGTCGACGGGTCAGACATGCTCGCTAAGAGCGGTTCCAGACCCGCCGGCTGGAGGAAGAGGAGGTGAGTTTAGTCGGTAGGCGGTCTCGGCACGCGGTAGAGCGTGTCGAACTGAATCCGACACACCAGGGACATCTTCCCTGATGGTCTTTTTTTGAAGATTCTCACCTCCCAAAAAAAATACCTATATAAATGTATCATTGCAGGCTATGATAACTAAATACCGCACAATGAAAATTTCAATATTTGCTTGAATATACCAATAAATGATAATGAACTGGAAAAACCTATGTCAAACATTATAAATTATCAAACTTACCATTGGTTCATCTGTGTTTTTCTGAAACTGAACCAACCGAACTCTGGTCACGTTTTCCATCTCGATCTCGCCATTCGGGCCGTCCAGATCGTCACCGCCGTTAAGGTATGGAAGAAGAGGCGGCGGCGTGACTCGCATGGCTTCCTCGCCGTACACTTCGTGTGCCACAACATCGTGCGCTTGCAAAAGGGACTGTAACAAAAGAAAGAAACCTTAATATTTTAACAATATATACATATTATTTTTTTATTATTAATCGCACCAACCACTGAGGGTTATTAGCGGGAGGACAAAATACAACATCTAATTACAATATGAAATTACAAAGTAAATGCTAATGACACTGTGATTCTAGCAAGTAACATGGAGGAACTGAGTTGTCTAATGAATAAGATACAAAAAACAAGTGCACAATACGGACTCAGACTAAATATCACAAAAACCAAAGGGATGTTAGTAAGCAAAACCCAACAATGACCACAGCAACTGATATTAGACAATGGAAGAATTGAACACGTGGATTCGTACATCTACTTGGGAACAACAGTTAACTCAAATATGGATCAAGCGAAGGAAATACGTATAAGAGTAGAAAAGGCAAGAGCATCGTTCACTAGCATGAAGCAAATTTTCACCTCTAAAAGCCTCACCCTACCTCTCAAAATTCGACTTCTGAAATGTTATGTATTCCCGGTTTTGTTATATGGAATGGAGGCGTGGACAATGACCGCAACATTGATGAAAAAAGTAGAGGCCTTCGAAATTAGGGCTTACCGACGTATATTACGTATATCCTGGACTGAGCACGTGACAAACGAAGAGGTACTACGGCGGATAGGTAAAGAGAGAGAGGTAGAAATAAGTATATAGAAAAGAAAGTTGGAATACTTGGGTCACGTTATGAGACATAATAAATATAGAGTACTACAGCTCATCGTTCGAGGGAAAATAGAAAGCAGAAATGTTCCAGGGAGGAGAAGACACTCTTGGCTCCAAAACTTGCGGCAATGGTTCGGATTGTCATCTGCTGAACTATTCAGATCTGCCGTAAACAAAGTCAAAAATAGCCATACTGATTGCCAATGTTCGGAACGGACAAGGCACATAAAGAAGAAGAAAGTAAATTACAATTTTCGTTGAATTTTGATATTATTAAAAAAAATATTTAAAAAAATTCCTCTATAAGAGTAAATTAATATAAAAACCCTATCGGGCTATATCACAGAACGTGGTATTGAGTGTTTGTCTCTTGTAAACTCAAGATAGATGGTAAGATTTCTGAACTGGATTTAAGGTTTTCTATGTTTAAACTAGATAATCCATTTCCATTGATGGTACTTATTCTTATGAGGATTCTCAAGAGGTGCCATGTCTTCATTTTGTATTGTTCAATCTGGTACTGACGATAAAACAATTGTTTGTTCTTTAGATGGTAAATTAAAATTGCTGACATTATTGTAGTAGGTTGATGTTGAAGATGTTGTAGATGATGTTAATGTTGAAAATGTTAATTGTTTGGTGACTGCTGTGTCAGTTTCTAATTAACTATCCATTTTTAATTTTTATTTTCTTTATTTGCAAGTTTCCGAATAAGAGCCACAATTGATTTTTGACAATTAGTTTGACTTATCAGCTTTTTTAAAAAATAAAAATGGATCGTTTGTTTACGACAATGCGATGTGTTTCCAATGGTTTTATATGGATTGAATAAACACTATTTATTTTTTCTCTCTAGTTAGACAAAAACTTAAATTTTAAACTTAGTAACAAAATACAGCTTTTTCTCTTTCTTTCTCTTTCTCTCTTTCTCAAGTGATCACTTGAGAAAGGCAATCAGCCGAAACAGCTGTAGTGATAAGATTTAAAATAAATTTTGTGGACGTTTAAAAACAAAGTTTTCAGTGTTTTATTGTTACATGGATTTTATATTTTTATTCACACTAACAAAGTATTCATTTATATTTTCAGGGTTTGGAAGAGAAAATATTTGAGCTTTGCTAGTTTTATTTCGAAGATCGTTTATAATGAATCAAGTTTCTCTTGCAACATTTTTAGAACTTCCCAGACGATTCTAATAGTACATTTTTTAACTGTTTTGATAAGTTCCTTTGTACTTGGAGATTCAGTGACAAAGACGTTAGTAGTAAATTTGTTGATGTACAGTTCACAGCGGTCATTTTATTACACAGTTTCTTATTATTCTAACGGTATTATTCAATAGATATGTCTAAAACCCAATATTTTGTTTCGCAATACCTTTTTATATTCCAAAATCCTTCCTTTAAAATAAAAACCCTAAGAGAAATTCCGACCAAGAAATAATTTCACCCAATCAACCTCTCCTACGTAGATATATCAATATCGTAACATCGATTTTCTACAACAAGGAAAATCTGAGGGAAATCTTGTCCTCAAGATCACTCGAATTCTATACCGACCTACCAAAACCCATCAACGATTCAATCTCATACGAAGGCCATTTCTCATTACAAATGAGCCGGTTTATCACAAGAGGAAAATATACGGCAACCTGTTTGTATTTTTTTCGTTTATTTATTAGATTTTCAAATGACAAAAACCATGACGTAGATAAAATATGAAAATATTTCATGCGGCAGATATTGAACAATTGTTTTGTTATCAAGCGTTGCATATTACATTTTCTATTTTGAATAATGTTCTAATTCAATACTGTTTTATTATTATATTGAAAACATTTGTTTTTGTATGAACTTTAAAATATTGTATTGTTAAAAATAAACATTTATCGCCTGCGTAAACGCAAACAATTCACTATAACTTGTTTTACTAAAAACTTTGGTATTTATTACATCAATTAGGATAAATACAGTATGGACATCTTGCAAATTGAAAAACATAAGTTTGGAATTCCTTAGTAATTGGATAATCTATATACAATTTTAAAAGTGTAGGTTTTTGTAAATCAAAGTCGGAAGAAAACCGATTAATCAATCTGGCACTTATTTCGAGTCAATTGAGCGAAAGAAAAACACTTTCAGGTTTTCCCTGGACGAAGTTGGGAAATTATTTTTAGACCTCATTAAACCCGCATTAATCAGTCGTTTTAACTTCGCTTTGAAAGTAATGACAATAATGAAGAATAAAACCGTTTCTTTTGTAAGAAAAATGCTGGAACCGTCTTTTATTAGGTAAAGGTCTTTGCAGTTGCTATTTGCCTTTTACAAATACTTTACTTGTAAGGAATTTGTATGTTGGCTCTTTTTGTAAGTCTTAAACAGTAACAGAGTTATGTCTTGAGATAAATTTAAGATTGATGAAAAAAATGCTGGTGTTAGCACATATTCATGAATGCTAGGGAACTAATTCTTCTACTAACAATTCGTAATAAAATCCACAAGGAAAACAATTCCTGTAGCTGGTTGTATACCACGTATCACAGAAAAGAGGTTAATCGTCGTAAATGGGTATATTTATTTACAAACCCTTAATAGGGCTACATCAAAAAAACAAACGTTTTCAGACTTAACAGTCCATCATCAGGTTTAAAAATTGCCTAAAATAAGTATAAACCATTTAGTTAAAGCAAACGTGATTTTAAAATTTTGACTAGGGTTAAAAAGCAAAAATTGTTATACTTACTAGGTTAAAATGCCTGAGCCACCAAATACCAGGGTAAAAACCCTTTAAATTACATGTAGTTGTAAAAGATTGTACATATTGTTGTTATAAAACTCTGATGTTAAGTATTAAATTAAATTTGACTTTAGTGTTAATTTAAAGTTAAATTTGACTTTTGCTTGAAGTGAGTTCCAGTGGTCCGGAAAGTAAACCTCTTCAAACGGACTCTAACTGGTAACTGATTGACAAGATACCTATAAATGGTGTCGAAAACAAAATGTCAATGCAACATGAAACTATATTAGTTATACATAGTAATACTGCAGCCAAAAGATTCAAAAATTTTTTTAATGATATTAAAAATAATAACAGCAATCCAGGTGTTGGGATTTAAAAACTTTTTATTAATTAATGTAGGGTATTAAAGATGTGAAATTACCGTTAGTGTTAAAGTTATGTTTAAGAGAATAATATAATAATTCACTTTTTGATTACACCTTTTTCGATTGAGAAATATGATGTAGATTTCAGTCCTACTCTCACAGATGCCTCTTGTTTCATATAAAGGTCCTTTATGATTTTAAGGTCATTCTCATCTATCGAACGTAATATCTATAAGATCTCTAAAGCATAGGAAGACATCTTTTTGCTGATCTCTGCATTTCTGAAGTAGGACAGTTAAGTTATAAAGTGCTTCTCTTGTGCCAAATCCTTGTCTGAAACCAAACTGTGTGGGCTAATGTCTCTTTCACATATGTTGTATATTCTTGTGTGAATTATCTTTAAGAAGAGTTTTAGGACCTGGCTCAATAAGCTGATCATTCGGAATTGGTCGCATCTATTAGCATTTGGCTTTTTTGGGATTGGTATAAAGGTTGATTGAAGCCAGTCCTGTGGTATTTGACCGGACCCATGAATGTCATTAAAAAGATCTACCAAGGCGTCTAAATTGTCTTCACTCAACATTGTTAGAACCTCTATGTATATGTCGTCTGGGCCTGGTGCTTTTCCCCATTTGCTCTGTTTGATGGCCCTTACAACTTCTGACTTCAATATTTTGGAGGAGGGTTCACTTTTATATTCACTTTCAGAGTTTCTTCTAGTTGGGTCTGAGTATAGTTGCTGTGTGTAGTTTCTCCAATATTGAAGTAGATCTTTCGGATCAGTAATTAATTTATTGTCCTTCACAATACTGTTAAAACTGCAAGGTTTTGTGTGACCTGTTACTTCTTTAATAAGTTTATGTATGTTAAAGTGGTAATGTTTTTTTTCCAATTCCTCCATTTCTGCACACCTGTCTTGCAGCCACTGTTCTTTAGATTTGCGACACTCTTTTTGTATTTGTCGTTATTGGTCGTTTTTGTATTTGCCAGTCAACACGACCGTGCCATTTTCGTTGAATCGACACTGATTTATTTCTCTCCAACTATTAAACAATATTGTTGGCGAAATAAATTCTTAACACTATATTTTAACATATTTTATGTTTTGTGTGACACAACGTGTTCTATGTTTAACTTGAAATTCCAACGCCTGCG